TTTTTTGGTCGTGCAATCCACCTTACGATGAACACTATCATATGCCACCCACTGGTTGGAAAAGGTTACTTATGACATCCCAAATGTTTATTTACAGATTGTGACAACTATTAGGAAAATGAGATTAAATATACTTTAATGTTTAAAAAATATATTCAGTATTATTATTGTTTAGGTAATAAGCATTATAACACAGGACAAATAGCTATATTGTAGAAAAAGGAGTTTTTGACAATATATGTATTTTTTACATATTTATGGTTATTGTTTGTAACTTTTATCAAAAACGACATTCTTGTACATGTAGTTATGGATAAGATTATACATTAATTACTAATTTTTTGATTAATAACTATTTGTGTTCAGTTGTTGACATTAATAGCTATCTGATGATGTGTTAAAATTTTGGAATAATAAAAACTTAAATTTCATCTCTCTGATAGAAATCGTGATCTGTAAATATCACATCGTCCATTTAAAGTTATTTAAAAATGAAATAAAGCAAAAGAAAATAACATTTAAGAATTGTGTGATTTTATATTTTAATAATATATCCGGGGAAATACTTGCACCATTTTTATTTGCCCGTATTCACGGAAAGATTGGAAGAAAATTAGGGTAAAAATCAGAAACTGCCACCGTTATTAGGTGGTCAAAAGATGCGGATAAATACCTGGAGGATCATATCAGATTCGGGATGCATCAAAAGAAAGTTGTTAAATTCCTGAACGATCAAAAGTGGTTCGAGAAATTCTTGGGTTGTCAAAAGAGATGGATAAATGTCTGGACGATAAAAAGTGGTTCGGGAAATGACTTGGTGGTCAAAAGATGCGGATAAATGCGTTGAGGATCAAATAAGATTCGAGAAATGCCTGAAAAGTTAAAACGGAGACGGATATGATTGGTGGATCAAAGGATAGTCGAGGAATGCTTGGAAAGGTCAAAAGTGATTGTGCGTTCAGATGAGCGTCGAGAAATGCCCTGGTGGTCAAAAGATGCGGATAAATGCCTTGTGGATCAAATAAGATTCGAGAAATGCCTGAAAGGGTAAAACGGAGACGAGTATGATTGGAGGATCAAAAGATAGTCAAGGAATGCCTTGTGGATTAAATAAGATTTGAGAAATGCCTGGAAGGATAAAACGGAGGCTGATATTATTGGAAGATCAAAGGATAGTCGAGGAATGCCTGGAAAGGTAAAAAATGACTGTGCGATCAGAGAAGGTTTTAAAGGAAGCCGATGTACCTGGAGGATCACAGGAGTGTCGAAAAAGGCCTTGATAGGTCAAAGGGAGGCCAATAAATGGCTGGTCGATTAAAGGAGGGTCTAGAAATATGCAAAGTTCAAAAGATGTGGATAAATGCTTTGAGGATCAAATGGGATTCGAGAAGTGCCTCGAAGGGTCAAAACAATGCCGATATGCCTGGAGGATCAAAGGAGAGTCGAGGAATTCTTGGAAAAGTCAAAAGGTGGCTGATAAATAACTGGAGGATCAAATGTCATTCAGAAATTCTTGGAAGGATCAAAAAGAGACCGACTAATGTTCGATGGATCAAAAGAGAGTCGAGAAAAGCATGAAAGGTTCAAAGGTAAACATATATATGTCTGGAAGATCAAAAAGGGGCAATAAATGCTAGTGTGGATCAAATAGGTTCGATAATTATCTATGGCTCAAAAGAGGATCAATAAATACTTGGGTAGTCAAAAGGATTCCATGGGAGTATTCAGATGGTTGATAAATGTGTACTTATGAATAAACCACACCAATTTCCGACCAAATATCAATGACCTTTCTCATCAAACATGTTCTTATCTTTAATGATGTCAACCAATTCAATAAAAAGGTATATTAATTTATTTTTAATATGTTTATTATTACTTGTATTATTTATAAAGTTTATTATTATTTAAACAAACTTGCCAAGTATAAGAAAAAAAGGAAATAAAAATTGGAAAGGCGGGGATAACAAAAACGTAAAACCAAAATGAAATTTATAGAAAAACAGTAATTACGAGGGTAAAGGAAATTCTACCCTTCAATAAATGAATTGAAAAAAAAACTATTGATAAATGCCTAGCAGGGTCGATAAATAAATCCTGCTGACTTATAAATAAATCTCACTATTTTCCAACCAAATACCAATAACCGAGCTCAATGAACATGTTCTTCCTGTTAATGTCAACAGATTCAATAAAAAGATATATTCATTTATTTTAACGTTTTATTATTTATGAAGTTTAATCTCATGAACAGAAATAAAAACTGAAAATGGAATACCGAAACTATAAAATCTTATTCGGAAACAATAATATTTTATTTTTTAAATAAAATATAATTATTGATATTTATGTCCATGCCGGGGTGCAGAGGTAATGTCGTTATAATGGACTGAATGGATAGATTATTTAAACATGGGGTCACCAACATGATCGATATCGACTTTTAGCATTCAATGGAACTATTCAGATGGTTGATAAAATAAATCATATGTACTTATGACTAGACCTCACCAATTTCAAACTAAATATCAATGACCTTGCTCATCAATCATGTTTTTCCCCTTAATGATGTCAACCAATTCAATAAAAAGTTATATTATTTTAATTTTAATTTTTATTATTACCTGTATTATTCATTAAGTTTATTATTATTTGAACAAACTTGTCAAGTATTAGAAAAAAAGAAAATAGAAATTGGAAAGGTGGCGGATAACAAAAGCGTAACACCAAAATGAAACTTATCAAGAAACAATAATGACGAGGACAAAATAATTTCTACCCTTAAATAAAAAAATGTAAAATTTACTTTAAAGTACAACTTAAAATAATCAGCTCCTTACGTATGTGTATATATACATATACATACACACAGATACACATACACATTATATATATATATATATATATATATATATATATATATATATGTATGTATGTATGTATGTATGTATGTATGTATGTATGTATAAATGTGCTTGTAACAGCCAAATCATGCCGTTACTGACGTTTGATGAGATGTGTCGATAAATTAATGTTACGAACATCGGAATTTATTATTCGATTCGTTCGCATTTCATATATATATATATATATATATATATATATATATATATATATATATATGTATATATATATCGTCAGTATGTGTTATTATATATATGTATATATCTTCTGTATCTTTTATGTGTGTATATATATATATATATATATATATATATATCGTCAGTATCTGTTATTATATATATGTATATACGTTCAGTATTTGTTATTATATATATATAAGTGTCTGTGTGTGTGCGTATATATCTTCAATATCTGTTATTATATATATGTTTATATATTTTCAGTATTTGTTATATATATATATATATATATATATATATATATGTATGTATGTATGTATGTATGTATATATCTTCAGTATATGTTATTCTTTCCTTTCACCTTTTTTTCTTTTTCGTTTTCACTCCATAATCATGAAGAACCTTTACTTTTTCTTTAATATTTCCTTATCCATTCTTATTTATCTCTTGTGTCCTCTTCCTAATTTTTCTTGTCTTCTCCTCTTCCTTCTACTCATTCTCACACCTCCCACCTTTTTATCGCCCACATTGTTTATCTTTCTACACATCATACGCTTCTTACAAACTACTCATTTTCTCAACACCTCCGATATTTTCCTTCGTTGCATCCTCTCTCTCTCTTCCAGTTTTTCCTTCCCTTTCAGATCAAGTCGAATAATTTAAAATTGCGCTCCGAATAAAGATTAAGACACTTGAGAGTTCCTGTCTAGCCGCCTCAGATCTGATGCAGCCAGTCGGCGGACGGGCCGATCATATGGGAGCCCAAATAACCCGCTATCAGCCTCAATGTGTCACAAATACTAGCGTTTGTCTTTCAGGTATGTCGCTGAAATATCGGCAAGACATCAAGAACACGATGGGAGGTATCTTATCAATGTTTGCACACTCAATTAAAAATCTGCTATATACGCTGATATAAATTATTCACAACTAAATACAAGCAAATAAGCGTCTGTGCTGTAAATAGTCAATTACCGAATCTCAAGTTGTCAGTGTTCACTCACAAGTAAAAGCTAAGATTGTGATTGCTGATTTTTTAAGCTACAGGTCAGCCTGACTTGACACTATTTTCCCACGTCTAGTATTGTGCTGAACTACTTTAATATATCTAAAACCGAGTCCACCAGCGTCAAGTCTGTCCTACTTTACGGCTCAGAAACCTATCGGGTAACCAAGACTAACACCCAGAAACTTCAGACATTTACCAACCGATGTCTTGGAAACATCGTTAATATCAGGTGGACGGAAGTCGTCCCCAACGAACAACTGTGGGACAGGACCAGACAAGCCCCAGTCAAGATTGATATCAAGAAACGGAAATGAGAAGGGATTGAACACACACTCAGGAAGTCTGCTTCTAGTGTCACCAAGCAGGCCCTTGACTCAAGGGAAGCGAAAAGTGCGCCAACCTAAATGGACTTAACAATTAACGAATTTTATCCATTTTTTTACGAGGTCGGATTTTCCAAGAGTTAAAAAATGTCGATACTTTTTTACTGTTAGTAACATATCAACTAGAACAGCCAAATGCAACACATTTGTTAACCATTTTTGTTAAACAAAATATCACAACAAACTTTATAATTTAATCTTTAAATGCAATGGGCTACGAGATAGAAAATTTACCTAATAGCGTTCATTTGCAAAACAGGCCGTATACGCAATCGAAAAGCCAGGTAACTCACAGCCGTTTATAATTCACAGATTAGTAAAAAAAAAAAAAAAAGTTGTGTAAACATGCATTTTAGTGTTGAAAACATATCTAGGGAATTGAAATAACGTCTGATAAATTCTACGTAATTGTACGTTCTTAATTTACATTCTAAGAATTCAATTTTTAAAGTAACTCCTTCTAGATTAGCAATTTTCTAACCGGCCATTCATATTTTTATTGTTTACATCGGCCTGTTAAAATTCAGCTTGTTATGTGTGAAGTGTTGACTTCAGCCGGTACGACATAGGCCGTTCTGAAGAGGCTCGCCCGGAACCGCGTCCCCAAGAAATCAAGTGGCATAATAATAATAATAATAATAATAATAAACATAGTCGTATTCTGTAAAAAAATAACGCTTGGAATAATTCAAACTGCTTTACATAAATGATTTGGTTATATACCGATCTTTTGCGAATATCTACACTGATAATACAACGGTATATGGGTGCCCCTCCAAAATTCTAGACGATCAGAAATTGGCATTTGACCTCTACCCTGACCGAGCTCTAATATTTCAGTACGGGGGGTGAACTGGCTGGTTACATTGAATGCCTCGAAAACCAAACTGATGACATTCAATCATAGCCGAACTCTGAACTATCGCTAATCACGATGAATGGATGTTCCCTCGTGGGAACCCCGTTCCATGAGCGCCTATTGAGACTTAAAAATTGAAACTAGTGACATTCAATCATAGCCAAACTCTGAACTAGCAATTTTCCAAGCGTAGTTTAGATGTTGCACAAGACTGAAAGTACGGGGCACCCAGTGAGGATCGAACACACTGCTCATATAATTGTTGTAGCGAGACAAGCTTGCTAACTCTTACACCGCCTTGACGTATCCAACCGAACTGTGAATTATCGCTATTCATAGTGAATGGACCGAGCTCTAATATTTAAGTGGGTGGGGGTCTGGCTGGTTGCATTTAATGCCCCGAAAAGCAAACTAGTTACATTCAATCATAGCCGATCGGACTCTTAACTATCACCAATAACGATGAATGAATGTTCCCTCAGCGAAGCCCCGTCCCCTGAGACACAACTTCCACCCCTCCCCGGTAAAACCGGATTACTACCTTATCACTTTCTTTTAGATCGCCTCTATGATCCGCCGTAACATCGTGTTCTGTCCGCTTTCGCATAAAGCTGCAAAGAAAAGCTTGAACTAATCTCATAACTATCACCAATCACGATGAATGGATGTTATCTGGGGAATCCCCGTGCCTTGAGCGCCTATTGGGGCTTAAACTCAACTCAGACCTCAAGTGGAACACGTACATACGATCAATTGCTAAAGATGCTGGAAAAAATTGTCGGTTCCCTGTACTGTTCCAAATAAGAAGATTATTCGGAGAGGGTTAATAAATAATAAGAGTGTTCAAATAGCCGTGTTCTGTTAAGTTCACTTTCGCATGAAGAAAGGCTTGAACCGATCTCTTTTACGCATCCCTAGTTACAGGTTCAAAATCAAGATACACAAATATCCAAGGCCCTAGTAATCATCAGAGGCGTGTCCTAGCGTTCGATTCTCGGACAGGCCCTCGTTGGAGTATACATAAATGCTCAGGTCATTTCTGAACATCTATGCTGATGATAGGACGATATATGGGTACACCTCCAAAACTCTAGATATCCAGTGATTTTCAGTTGATCTCTCCTCTGACCCAGCTCTGGGTGGTGGGGGGACTGGCTTGTTACATTCAATGCCTCGAAGACTAAACTACTTACATTCGATCATAGCCAATCGGACTCTTAACTATCACTAATCACGATGAATTGATGATCCCTCGTGGAAGCCCTGTGACTTGAGCGCCTATTGGGATTGAAACTCAACCCAGATCTCAAGTGAATCTAGCACATAAGATCCATCGTTAAAAATGCTGCAAAAAATGGTCTCTACCCGGTAACACACTAGTGGGTACATGACGCTTCCTGATACCCTCTACCATTACGAGAGAAAAAGAGAGTATTCTTGCCATATATGGGCAGGGGCTGCACAGTCTTCACTTTCTAGTCTTGACAGAGATCAAAAGCGTTCCCCACTAACTAGACACTAGAGATTAAATGACAACAAGTCTCCTCAATACCCCAACACTCTTCTCAGCATCCTCGCTGTTTTCTACAATACCATTGTCTCGATGGTTCTAAATCTTCCCCAAATTTCCACTTCCTCCATTTTCCCCACCTCAGTTTTTCGCAACCGTTCCCATTACCGACAAGCACTACACTACCTTCTATGAGCCACAACTTCCAACCCTCCCTGGTAAAACTCCCTGGTAAAACCGGATTACTACTTTATCACTTTCTTTTAGATCGCCTCTATGATCCGCCGTAACATCGTGTTCTGTTCGCTTTCGCATAAAGCTGCAAAGAAAAGCTTGAACTAATCTCATAAGTATCACCAATCACGATGAATGGATGTTATCTGGGGAATCCCCGTGTCTTGAGCCCCTATTGGGACTTAAACTCAACTCAGACCTCAAGTGGAACGCGTACATACAATAAATCGCTAAAGATGCTGGAAAAATGACCGGTTCCTTGTACCTCTCCAATGAGAAGATTATTCGGAGAGGATTAATAAATAATAAGCGTGTTCAAATACCCGTGTTCTTTTAAGTTCACTTTCGCATAAAGCTCCAAAGAAAGGCTTGAACCGATCTCTTTTACACATTCCTAGGTATAGCTTTAAAATCAGGATAGACGAATATCTAAGACCCTGGCAATCAACACAAGCGTACCCTAGCGTTCGCATCTCGGATCAACCCTCTTTTCAGTATACATAAATGATTTACCTAAGAGTATGTTCAGGTCATTTCTTAACATTTATGCTACGATGATATATGGGATCACCTCAAAAACTCTAGATCTACAAAGATTGGCAGTTGATTTTTCCTCTGAGCCAGCTCTGATAGTTCAGTGGAGGTGGGGACTGGCTGTTTACATTCAATGCATCGAAAACCAAACTAGTTACATTTGGACAATTCTGCTTATATACCTGTGATATAGGATTAATTATATAACAGTAATTTCGCATAATATGTCTATGTCTTACCATTCACGTCATTATAGTTTTATTACCAGCTGTGATCCTGGTTTTGGCATTTAAGCCACTTCTCGTTTCTTGGTGCAAACCTCATTCTACTTTACATAGATAGATACTCTAGTCATTTGGGGATATCTGTGTTGATGATACAACGGTATATGGTTGCCCGTCCAAAGCTCTAGATGTCCAGAGATTGGCAGCTGATCTCTCCCCTGACCGAGTTTTAACTGTTCAGTGCGGGAAAAACTGGCTTGTCTCATTCAATGCCTCGAAGATTAAACTACTCCATCATCACCGAGCGGAGACAGATTTTTCACGTATCGCGATGAATAAGTGTCCTCTCACGGAAGGCTCGTACCTGGAGCGCCTATTTGGGACCTCAACTCAACCCAGACCTCGCTAAAGATTCTATGAAAATGGTCAATTCCCTGTACCGCTCTAGTAAGTATCTGACTCAATCTGTTTAACATTACAAGAGTCATATCAGGTTGTAAATTGCCGCCATATATGGCCAAGAGCTGCACTGTCTTCAATCTCCAGTCTCGATAGTATCCAAAAGCTTTTCCGTATCGTTGTGCGTCACCCTAAGTCCCCTTTCCCAAGAACGAAACGTCGTAAGCCTTTCGCTGCTTTATCGCTATTTATATAGAAAGGGTTCAGATTATATTCCTTGGTTCCAGCAGTTGTAATATTCACGTCTAAGAACAGCCATGCCACGCAGATTACACTGCGTGCCAAATTATTATCGAGATAACTTTTTTTCTAATATTTTAAAAACCGTCCAATCAATTCACACAAAATATGGCGCCAGTTTGTTTACATTCCCTATTAATTTGTTTAAAACTGTGCCTTTGTTTGTATCTGTTATTATTTGTTTGATTATCTTATTTATTAGCTTCTTTTGATCATAAACATTCACGAGCAATATTAATAAACGTTTTGTTTGCTCAATTCTGGGAATTTTACTAAACCTTTCTAATAATTTGGCACGCTCAAATCACCGTGCTGATAACAAATATGGCGCCAGTTTGTTTACATTGTGCATATCAGTACGAAAATTTCAGTGATTGCGCAGGTCAGTGTTGTCAATATTGTGTGAAAATTTTTTGTGAATTGATTGGACGGTTTTTGAAATATTAGAAAAAAAGTTATCTCGATAATAATTTGGCACGCAGTGTATATCAAACCATCTTCTTTCCTTTCGTATTCAGTTGTGAGATTTAAGTTCCACTCAAATAGTTTCTTCTCGCAAACCATTATTTTGAGGAACCGGCAATTAAAAGAATGCTTCCCCAATCATTACAGTCTTAGACTGTTCAAGTCTAGTTAACCTCAATTTCAATGCATTTATATGTTTATATATTATACATCTAATAACACTTTTTTCTTTTTTTCATTAATTCCTCACCAAGTACAATTGGGCTTACGGCCATATCACGATGAAACATTGGTTCTCGCATGATCACCAAAGTTAAGTAATGCCACGCCTGTTCAGTACCTAGATGGGTAACCGCTTGGGAATACCAGGTGTGGTAAGCTTGGATGTGTTGTTTGGATAATGGAACAGAATTTGAAATCGGAGAGTCGAGTTTCAATTTAAAAATTCTTACAAACGAAAAACATTTTCTGCCTTTAAATAACCTGCAAAAGGTTGATAAGCCGTAAAAACCAAATGAAATAATCAATTAAAAAATAGTTTCCTTCCTGATATTCAATGTATTCCTAGAATAAATTTTCTTCATTTTATATATAATAGGCTTATTCTACCAGATACACTTACATTCATTTCAGAGCATTGATAATCTTTTTCTTCCTAACTTTCTATGCATTTCTACATTAACTAATATATATATATATTATGTTAGGTGAAACCGGGGTAGGTTTGCTTTGCTCTTTAGGATTATTTTAGGTTATCGCTCTACTTAATGTATTGAGTATTTTACGTAGTTGTCCTTTTACTCGTTTTGGGTTTTTTTCTTTGAACTTGGAACTTAAACACTTGCTTGACGATTGTTTTCGCCTTGTTTTAATGTTCTGGTTCTTTTTTTTTTTATTCGTCGTTTTTCCTCGGATACCGATTTGTTGTACTGCAAGTTGAGCTATCCCAGGTTTTTCCAAACCAGTATCACCCATTATATATATATATATATATATATATATATATATATATATATATATTATAAATTAATTGATTTAAAATATGTTTATTATATAGTCGGGGAAAACCATATTTTAAATCAATTAATTTATAATATTAATGCTAATTAAATTTACATTGAGCACTATTTTGTAAAAATAAAATATCTATAAGAACACCAGATATATATATCTTACTGTTCTTTTTTTTTATATATATATATATATATATATATATATATATATATATATATATATATATATATATATATTAATCATTTCATCCGAAGCAAGGATTATATATGTTACTGTTCTTTTTTTATATATATATATATATATATATATATATTAATCATTTCATCCGAAGCAAGGTGACAAAGCGAATGGCACAAGGGGTCTCTGAATGTGAAAGAATTCGAGAAAAACCATAAAATGACGATTGTTATTTCATTTAAATTTTTGAAGATCAAGTTGAATGGAAAGTACGAAACCGGAAGAGAGCAAGAAAGGCGAGAGAAGGAAGCACAGAACTTCCGGTTACATCTAGCAATTTCAGCTTTTATTTACATATTCCCGATTTGAGTAAACTAATTCTTTCTATAAATACACAACTACTCCAGCCACCAAACAAGCGAACTGTTTTCATTATCTAGAGCGCTTTTCTCATGCTTTGAAATGATGTAAAAATATCGAATGTGTTAATTGCCTTGATCTTTCTGTTTATTGACAGAATCGCTTTGGAAATTTGTTAATTCTTGTTTCAAGCACTTGTCGGCTTAAACTTGATTGCATATGCATGGCAACCTGTTCCGTTCGGGAAATTTACATCAATTATTCAACATGACATGTTAGTTTTTCGCAGCTCTTGTCTCACCTTGAGACAAAATTAAGTAAGAAAAGCAACAGAACAGAAATATTTTATTGTTTCTTTTAGCGCCCTATTGCCCCCACCATTTTTCTTTATGCTGTCGACATATTTATCTTATCATCAAAAACTTTAAAACTATCGCCATTGCAATAATTTATATCATTTGTTTAATTTGTGTATATTTAAGAGATTTTTTTTTGTTGTATTCTGGCGTATTTCCAATTTCAGATTAGCATCAAGCATTGGCAACTCCGCCCAAAACAGGGTAGCCTAGGTTTATTTTTCCTTAGTTTCTTCTGACAACGTTAACGTAGGTAGGGAAGCTATGCTCATCGGCCACTTTTATTTTTGTACACTCTCTCTTTAGTTCATTTGCGATTTCCCAAAGTGACTGATCTTTCTCACATCTGGGTGGGTGTTTATATCACTATCTCTGTCATGCGGCACGTTCCCAGTCTTGCAATCATGTTGCAGATGGTCCCGTCAAGTAATTCTGCGCTCAATGGCAGGGAGGCCATCTCAGGTCAAATTTGCATCTGGTTTCTCTCATGTCAAACTGAATACAAATTATGTCCTGCCGTGATCTGGAATAAGAAACATGCAACAGACACAAAGCCAACTCAGTAAAACTTAGTAGAGAGTAGCCAGTAAGAAGATTGTGTTGCGCCTTGTTTTTTTGTTTTGTTTTGTTTTTTTAATCAGAAACCTCCTATATGACTAGAAAATTAGCTTTTAAGGTTTTGGATTTAAATATTTAATAAGCTTAGTTTTGTATGAGAGAGAGAAAGAGAGAGAGAGAGAAATGTGACACGTCCCTATAGATCATGGCTCTCCACAACTTTCTTTTTTGTTGCTCTAAGGGATTCTTCCTTCTTTATCACCCTCTTTTTATTTATGAAAATTATTCTGCTATTTGTCTCGCAGATTTCTATGTTTCCTTTTGCTTCTATCGACTTCGATATGATTTGTGAGTGTTAAACTCTCCATGCCTGCTTTCCTAATATTTAAACAGTTTTTCTGGTCATTATTATTAATACTTTTATTGTTTATTGATTATTATTTAACTATTCAACTGCATCTGACACAGAATGAAATAAAAGCTGAAAAAGAAACCTTATTTCTTATATCCCCTCGAAGCCTAAACTTGTCCCGATCGCTCACTACATTAGACTAATTTTTTAACCTTAGTCACTTCTACCTATCACCACAGATACTGGTGTAAAAGGAATTAGTGAGTCGGCAACATTAGCTGCTTTATTACTGCCATCATATAATCTATTTTCACTATCAGAGTCACTTGTTACATTTTCAACTCTCACTGATATTTTGCTTTTTATAGAGAGTAAAAGAACTGTCAATACTCATTGGGACAACACAGGCAAAATCCAGAGACGGATCTGCAATATGATAGGTCCAGATCTAGCATCTCATCCAGAGTCACTTTCTCACAGACCTGTTGTGGCTTCCCTCTGTCTTTTCTACAAATATTTTCATGGTAACTGCTCTGACGAGCTACTTTCACTCTGTACTCCAAATGTACGAATTTAAGCGTGCTACTAGGTTGGCATCTCAGTCCCACTCTTTCACTGTCGAAACGGTTAAGTGTAGCCGTCTCTTCTACTCCAACAGTTTCTTATCTCGCACTTCCCGTCAGTGGAACTCCCTTCCTCTTACTTGTTTCCCTGTTAGCTATAATATTCAAATATTCAAATTTAATGTCAATCGACAACTTCTAATGCCTTGATCCTGATCCTCGTACTATTTTTCATCCTTTCCTCAAACATCTATCTTTACTCTTGCTCTCATTCTCTGTAAACACTTGCATGTTAGTATCACTCCCGCTTTTCTTAGGGTGATATGCTTAAAAAAATTAAAGGGTTCGGTTCAAAATTCCAATCACCTGAACAAAGGCCGTAGCTTACAAAGGCCGAAACGTTGTGAATATGGCAATGAAGACGAGGATAAAGGTCCGAATAATAACCATTTATTTCATCCACCGGGGTAGATTGTTCTAGTTCCACGTGCCATGCCTCTTCCAGGTGTCTCAGTTATTTCCCTTTAACTCAATTCTCCAATTTTTTTTTTTTGGTTCACCACTGCTGTAGCGTGGTATTGAACTCACGATCTTTGGGTCGAGTCAATGGATCTAACCAACGTTTTTATCCACTGGGCCATGTGTCCTTGTGTTCGGATCGAAATTCCAATCACCTGAAAAAGACTGGAGCGTGCAACGACTGAAATGTTGTGAATTTGGCAATGAAAATGATGTTTACAGTGTGAATAATGTCAATAATAGAAGTAATCAATAATACCTCGTCTCAGAGATATAGACAGCAATTAGTAGTATCAACTCATTTTCAACATAGACCCACTAAAACGAAAAATTCTCAAGAAATATCTATTGCAAACGACTTATAATATTGACGCAAGAATAAAAGAGTAGTCATTTCATTCAGTAACTGGCTAAAGACTCACACAATGAATTGACCAAATTAGTACGTGCTACGCTTAGCGTTTTCTGGGACAAGGCCACCAGTGTAGAGCCCTTAACTAGGACCTAACTAACTACAGTATTAATGGCATTCATAGCAACGTATTCTTTAATGTACGCGCGGCCAATTAAAATTTGATTTTTTTTTACCTACTCCACACTGCGGTCCTGGATACGGCGATAAACTACATCCGCGTCCAGGGTAAGACGATAAACGACATCCGCGTCCAGGGTAAGACCATAAACTACGTCCAACAGCAAGCCCTCTAATCAGGAGGCTAGGGGAGCGTGGAACCAACTCTTAATTGCTGGTGTTCTCAGGTTCACCTTGACCCGGGGTGGTGGCACCTGTTAGGGTCCCAGCTATGGGCAAATAGTTAACCTCGAAAGTGAGGTAAAAAGCATTATAAGGGTGTAAAAATGGGTTTTAATGCCAGAAATACTTTGTAAAAATTATTACCAGAAATAAATTTTTGAAGAAAAAAATATTACCAGCAATATATTTTTGAAAAAAAAATATTACCAAGCAATACATTTTTTAAAAATAATATTACCAGCTATACATTTTGAGGAAAAAATATTACCAGAAATAGATTTTTTGACAAAACAAAATATTACCAGAAAAAAAAGTTGTCGGCATTAAATAACCCTTTGAGGTTGATATGCCATAAAACATAACAAACCAAAACCAAATTTCCCCACGCCCCATTAGAGCAATTTTTTTAAACAAGGTCGTAAATAAGGTGAAGCTTCTCAGCCCTAGATGCGGTTTGTGTCAGAATGTATCCAGTTCATCCGGGCAACTCGGTGGTAACCCTCTCTTTCTAAGTGCATTAGGAATGTTTAATATGTGGGGGGGGGCTCCCTTTGAACTGCATTTTGTTCAATTTCCACCTCGAGGTAAAAAAAAACTTGAAAATTAACCCGTTTTGAAGGCCATGAGTATAGAAATAAGAGAGCGAATCAAACTCACTGATGGATTAAAAACAGATATCTTCTTCTATTAGGATGTAGGTTATCATGGCTCTGTACAGTCTCCTCT